GCCACCACCTGGTGACCGCCTCCTCTCTCCACTAGGGCCCATGAAAGCCCATTAACTCCTCGGGGGGTTCCGGTATCCCCCGGTACTCCGAAAAATGCCCGAACCTTTCCGAAACCATTCTGGTGTCCAATCATAACCTCCCAATATATGAATCTTTATGTCTCCACCATTTTGAGACTCCTAGTCATGTCCGTGATCTCATTCGGGACTCCAAACAAACTCCGGTTCATCAAATCACATAACTCATAATACAAATCATCATCGAACGTTAAGCGTGCGGGGTTCGAGAACTATGTAGACATGACCGAGACACATCTCTGATCAGTAACCAATAGCGGAACATGGATGCTCATATTGGCTCCTACATATTCTACGAAGATCTTTATCGGTCAAACCGCATAACAACATGCATGTTCCCTTTGTCATCGGTATGTTACTTGCCCAAGATTCGATCGTCGGTATCATCATACCTAATTCAATCTCATTGCCGGCAAGTCTCTTTACTCGTTCCGTAATACATCATCCCGTGGCTAACGCATTAGATACGTTGCTTGCAAGGCTCATAGTGATGTGTATTACTGAGAGGGCCCGGAGATACCTCTCTGATACACGGAGTGACAAATCCTAATCTCGATCTATGCCAACTCAACAAACATCATTGGAGACACCTGTAGAGCATCTTTATAATCACCCAGTTGCGTTGTGACGTTTGATAGCACACGAGGTGTTCCTCCGGTATTCGGGAGTTGCATAATCTCATAGTCAGAGGAACATGTATAAGTCATGAAGAAAGCAATAGCAATAAAACTAAACGATTAGTATGATAAGCTAACGGATGGGTCTTGTCCATCACATTATTCTCCTAATGATGTGATCCCGTTCATCAAATGACAACACATGTCTATGGTCGGGAAACTTAACCATCTTTGATTAACGAGCTAGTCAAGTAGAGGCATACTAGGGACACTTTGTTTGTCTATGTATTCACACATGTACTAAGTTTCTGGTTAATACAATTCTAGCATGAATAATAAACATTTATCATGATATAAGGGAAATATAAATAACAATTTTATTATTGCCTCTAGGGCATATTTCCTTCAATCGTGTGGAATACGAAGCGGCAAGTGATGCCATAGCGAAGCTTCTCATGTCGTCACATCAAATATTTTGCATGTTGCGAGACGCCCTTTTGACTAGTTTGTGAGAGCGGCCTCCTTGGCCTCCGCGCCCCGACCGATGTTACGACCTGTAGCAACTGTATAGCACATCTACGTGAGGAAAGAGACTATCACGCAAGCGGCCACACAAATACTCACCTAGATGGTAACTAATATGTTTTGATTATTATTTTGTTGACGTGAAAAAAGACCTTTGATTATTGGTTTGACAGCAACAAAGACGTTTGATATGAGACTAAAATTTTGTACCACAATACAACATAGTTATCATTAAGGCTCAACGTCTTCCTTTTTTTGAGAAATAGGGATCCCCCCCCCCAACTTTTATTGAAGAGAGGTAAACATCCAACAAGGATCACTACACAACGCTCAACCACAAACGTGGGAGCAGCTGCGACAAACATAACTCCAGTCAAGAACACACGCTACAAATAACCAGAGCAAACAACACAACAACATGGGAAAACAACATAACAACAAGGGGAAACAACATAAACAACCTAAATCTAGAACGGTTGAAACGCGAAGAAGTCCCTAAGTTGAGTTGTCGCCTTATGCTCAGTAGTCGCCACTTCAGAGAGGTTCAAAACTAAGCTATCCTTACAAGCTCTCCACGATGATGATTAAGGAGCATCGGGCAACGAAGTAGGAGTGCACCCTGAGCATCGACACACAATACCTTTCATTGATGCAGTAGCGACCTCACTCGATCCAGGACGCACTTTAGACTCCGCCAAACCCTTCCCCGAAAACAAAATCATTTTGCATGGTCCATGAGAGGCAGCATTCAAAACATCATTTTTCTTATTTTTCCAATGCTTTGAAAGGTCATCCAAGAGTATGGGACCGAAATGTCCAAAACCTCCTCGATGATCTTCCCCACGTTAGAAGCAACAACACAATCAAAGAATAGATACCCAACATATTCTTCTTTTTTTCATGACAGAACACACAAGTAGGGTCATCCACATGGCGACGCTTAGACAGGTTATCTCGAGTTTTTTTAGGGGGAAATAGTTGTCACTTTATTCAATGTTCATAGCTCCTTCTTGTGCAACCTCCGAGCTAACCCACTCGGGGGGCACATGGAGCCAAGTTTTACAAAGCGATCTAATACAATCTTCCCTAACTAGGACATGTGCGACTTTATTTGCCGATCGTCGCACCCAAGTAACTCTAAACTCCTGAAAAGAACTCAATAAACCTTTTATTTCCTCAACTAGTTGCCCATTAGTTGAGAAATCCCTTTGCACATTCTTGATCTTACCGACAGCTCCATGAGAGTCCGATTCAAGGATCACCTTGTGAACTTGAATTCTTGAGCCAGAATAAGAGCTCTCCGGCATGCTAGCAGCTCAACCACCCCATCATCGTGAGAGGATGGAAAAAAATGACACGATCCTGCCAGGAAAGCGCCATGGTTGTCCCTGAGGACAACTCCTCCCCCTCCCTTGCCTTGGTCCTTCGCCAACGCGCCGTCCGCGTTTGCCTTAACCCAACCGTCCTCCGGCTTTTTCCAACAGTCTACCTTCACATTTAAAAACATAGTTATCTCGAGTTAAAACTTTGATGTTAACACATGCAAATTCCGAGGTGTTTTGATTTTCCAAAAGCAATGAGGCCCAGCATCTCAGCCCATCCACGGCCGATTGCCCACGATCGAGCCCGTTTCAGTTTCTCAACTACGGGGCCGAGCCCAAAGCCCATTCTAACCTCTGTCAACGCAATCGAACGGCTCTCGACCGCGCACGTGAGTGGCACGCACGCACTCGGCCAGGCCAGCAGGGCAAAATAATCCGACCGTTGAGGCCTCAGCCGCTGCCTCTGCCTCCGCAAGAGCCTTTAAACCTCCAAAATCCGCGATCCGGATCTTTCCCCAATTCCAAACTCCGCCTCGCCCCGCCCGGCCGCTCCTCCCCCCGCGCCCACCTCCGCTCCTCCGCCCCGCGGCCAGCCAGCCATGGCGATCTCCACCGATTCGCGCGGCGAGGAGAAGGTACGCGTGCTCACCGTCGCCCCTCCCCCGCCCCCCCTTCCCGGATCTCATCCCCGCGTCTCCTGCGCGCGATCTAGGCGCTCCCGGCGGGGGCGCGTAGCGGTAGATTCTTGGGATTCGACGCCGGGCCGGCGCCCGGTTGCTCCTGGGGCGGCTGCGTGCTCGTGCTCTGGCGCCGGATTTAGTTGGCGATTTGTTCACTTCTGCTTCCCCTTGGCGTTTTGGGGGTGGGCTGCTGGTTAGGGTTAGCTAGCTGTAGTGTCCAGGCGTTGAAATGGTCCGGGTCCTATTTTCTTCTTGGTTGGTTCAAGATTATATTTTGGGCCCAGTAAAGCAAACAAACCCATCGATTTTTGGCATATGCTTAGTTTTCCTCTCCATCTGGGCAGCCCTAAATTATCAGCTCTTGTAATGGTTTATTTATACTGCATGGTTAAAAGATGCATCTTGTGGGTAATATGTATATATATTGTTTGGTCAACCTGGACTTCATGAGTATGATACTCTTCCGGTGAAGTGGAGCAATAATGGTGTATTTTTGTCGCCTCTCTGTAGCCTTCGCAGCATTCTCAGGAGGAGAAGCGGTGGGTGTTGTCTGACTTTGATGTTGGGAAGGCACTTGGCAGGGGCAAGTTTGGCCATGTCTACTTGGCCAGAGAAAAGAGGGTAACTACTCTAGCTAATCTCAAATAATCCAGTATCATAATTTGAGTGAAGGAATTTATGTTTCCCCGAGCTGATTTAGATAACAAGTGTAGCTAATGTTTAATAATTAGAGCTCGGATCTATTTGTTCTGCTACTAAATGTAGCATTGAATGACACTGTCATCTACATTGCATATGTTCTGAGTCCAGAAGCTTATTGTATCTACCATCTGTTTTCCCTACTAAATGTCTATGTGTAGTAAGTTATAAGTTTCATGGACACTTTTCATTCATTAGTACAAATTGGTTGTTTGGTGTTATATATACTGAAGGTGGCAGGAGTCTGGAATTGTTAATACTCGAGTAATCAACGAAGTCTTACAGTATTTTCTTTCCATGGAAACAGACTAGTCAGATTGTGTCTTTCAAAGTTCTTTTCAACAGCCAACTGAGTCCAGAAGCTTATTATATCTACCATCTCTTTTCTCTACTTTTGACTTTTGTTTGTAAGTGTCTAGCTACTTTGCAGAAATTTTGATGCCATGCATAGTAAGTTATGAGTTCCATGAATACCTTTCATTCATAGTAGTACAAATGGGTTGTTTGGTGTTATATACACTCAGATGGCAGGAGTGGAATTGTTAATACTCGAGTAATCAAGTCTTACACTAGTTTCTTTCCATGGAAACAGAGTAGTCAGATTGTGGCTTTGAAAGTTCTTTTCAAGAGCCAACTGAAACAATCACAGGTGGAGCATCAGTTACGGCGCGAAGTAGAGATACAGAGTCACCTTAGACACCCCAATATTCTTCGCCTATATGGGTATTTTTATGATCAGGTACAGATTGGCCCAACTATAACACGGAGAATCATTATAGCTTCATTTCACCCTCGTCTGATCATCAGTTCCATATGCGTTTTGCAGACCCGTGTTTACCTAATCTTGGAACATGCCGCAAAAGGAGAGCTGTACAAGGAGTTGCAGAGATGCAAGCATTTTTCTGAAAGACGCTCGGCAACTGTAAGTATATGCTCTGAATGTATTCGTGGTAAATGTATCGTCTACCCACTATTCAAAAGTATTATATCTGAACTTCCCTTGTTTTTTCTTTTCAGTACATTGCATCTTTGGCCCGTGCCCTCATCTATCTTCATGGGAAGCACGTGATACATCGAGATATTAAACCGGAAAACCTTTTAGTTGGAGTACAGGTATTGGCTCTACTTTGCTTCAATTGTTATGATCTGGAATAGTATGCTCTCTGGTGTTTACATAGGTATATGCTTTTCATGACAGGGAGAGCTAAAGATTGCAGACTTTGGCTGGTCTGTTCATACCTTTAACCGAAGAAGGACGATGTGTGGGACGTTAGATTATCTGCCTCCCGAAATGGGTACTTTCCTTTTCATTTACTTAAGTGTCACAACTGATTCGTGGTGAAATAGAATACCACAAATTTTCTAGTATAATTGCCTCTCAAATTGTTGCGATTTGTCCAGTGGAGAAGACAGAGCATGATTACCATGTAGACATATGGAGCTTGGGCATCCTATGTTATGAATTCCTTTATGGGCTCCCACCTTTTGAAGCCAAAGAACACTCTGAGACCTATCGAAGGTAACTCGTGATGAACGAACTGATTTTACTATGACCTTCGCGATTTGCATCTCTTGATTCGACGCTCTTACAAACGTTATTGCCTTGCATATATTTTCTGTCCAAAGTAGTCTTTTGGGCATTTGTACATTTTGCTCTACAAGCATACTCTTGAACTATGGGTGGTGCTTCTACATGAAACACACACAGTTGCATTGATCAGGGCTGGCTAGGCATGCTTTTTTTAGGTTCATGGTTTCGTGTATGCATCAGCAGTGATAGTACCACATTTGCAGCATTGCACCATAAGTTATTTTGATTGAATCACATGTTTAAATCTTCATGATTCATTCAGTCCATGCAACTCTACTTAGCTCCCTTCGCACCCTTATAAGCAACTGCTGTCTCTCAAACTGCCTTGTTCAAAATACAGGATAGTAAAAGTGGACCTGAAGTTCCCGTTGAAACCGTTTGTATCTCCTGCTGCGAAGGACCTCATCTCACAGGTACCTGATTACAACAAGAAATAGCTATAGTTTATGTGACATGTCCTGTGCTGAACGTCTGTCTTACAAATGGCTTGTTTGTTCTGGCTTGTTGCAGATGCTGGTGAAGAACTCGGCTCACCGCCTACCCCTCCACAAGGTTCTGGAGCACCCCTGGATCGTCCAAAACGCCGACCCCTCGGGCGTGTACAGAGGGTAGAGCTTGTCTCGACTGCTCCTGTGCCTCGATCCAGGGCTCCAGGGGTTATTTCATTGTTGTCATATCTGGCTTTCGTTAGCCGTGCCTGTACTACCTACCACCACTGTTGCTCCTGCAGCTGCGTCGATAATGTTCATTGAAGCTTCAGCTTTACTCGATGAAGATTTGGAGCCAACATGTAGCAGCTGTCACAAGTGTGTGTTGTGAATGTTTATGTTGTGTAGGGGGTGTGTGTATCCTACTCTGTGTATCTCTTGTTGGACAACTATTTGGTCTATATATTGGAGGTTCCCGCAGTTTGTATCCGGTGCCTTGTAATTGTTATTATTATCATTCAGGTGATCGGAATGATAGCAAGGGCTCAGATTAAGAAATCTCTTGGGACAGCGAACAATTCAACCTGCTTTACAATGATCCAGCGAAAGAAACTTTTTTCTTTTGAAAATCACCACCCTGTCTTTACTAGAGGCGGGGGCGCGCCCATGGCGCGCCTCCTGAGCAGTTCCTCTGTGCTGCCTGGTTGTCAACCGTCCTAGGACTGTTCTTTTGCACTACCAGGTTATCTGCTCATCTTAATCTCTTCCACAAATCATTGCCAAGCTTGTCTCCCTTCTTTTCCAGCTGCCAAGCGTAGGTACAACCTTTAATCAATATATAGAAACCAAAGGCTACACGAACGAACATCAAATATATTGATAACTGATATTGCAACGAATGCACAACTGGTAACCGTGTCTAACGAATTCTGCTACGGCTATGTACATGCTTGCCATCGATCAAAACCATAAATTCAGAAGCCTGAACTGGCCTGATGTAAGGACATTGAGGCGGCAAAGAGGTGTATACCATCGCTGTGCCTGTTCGTCCTTCCGAAGCTGTGCTCCGCTCCGGCGGCCATGTCTCACCCATCTTGCCAAGCCCCGCGGGTCACCTTATTAATCCTGACGGACCCCACCATGTCACTGCTCTCGCCGGACCTCTCCTCCGCCTCCGATGACACCCTGTCATCCAGCTCGGGTTGGCCCTGCTCTAAGTCCTCCCGCTCTCCTGCAGAGGGAAGAAACACGCCCTGTGGTAGATTAAACCGCAAATCAAGAATGACACTAAGCGACTGAATCACATCCACATACTATCTCAATACCAGCCACATTGTGAATTCCGATTGTATGCCTCAACTTGAAATACAAGATTGGACATGCACCAAAATAACTCGGTAATAAAATATGCCTACATCAAGAAACAACAGAAATACTCTACGGATTTCACAAGAATGATTTGATTAGTGTTTATCAAAAGTTGCTTGTACAGGGGGTCTCTTCATTTATTTAGACCAAATGTACTACAGAATGTAAGCTGTAAAAGAATACTTCATTAGCTAAAATGGCCTATTTTGGACTTGACCATTGTTGTACTCTGCACACCTTACTGTAGAGTGTAGAGTTATAGTTATTACTTCAAAATCCTGTTTGCAAATCATAATTAGTATTGGATTCATTTCGATCATATTTGGAACGGGGTCTGATCTAAAAAGGAAAGTCAGGACCATCATGTATAGGTAAGAAAGTGAGAATTACTTGCAAAATTAAAATGGTGAATACATTATAGAAAAACCAATAAATGGCAAATGGATTGCACAATAGAGTTACTTTGTATAAACAACTCAATTATCAGCAACTTAATACCAGTGAAACTTACATGGAGCTCAGGTTTAAATTTGACATTTTAACTACAGAGTTTTAGCCTTTCATAACCTGGTAACAACACCAAAAATATATTGAAAAGTAGGGAGGACCAAGAGGTCACATTCAACAGATGTGGCATGGATCAACGAATACTCTTTTTTACTCGATTTGATGCCATTTCAATCAAGAATAAGCAATATTTGCATGAAGGAGCATCAGTATGTGTATCTCAGAATTGTTATGCATCAATTATTGGAAGCCGCAGCAGCAATATAAGGGCTCAACTGAATCAGCTTCTATCGAACGAACGAACAGACCTCAATTGAAACCTCGAGTTTTCCGGCACCGAGCAGACCAGAGCAGATCTCGGCCGCTCGCCAGAAACCAAGGCGAAATCGTGCGCATGCACGAGCGCACCTCGAATCGTAAGCCAAAGGATAAGGAAACCCCCGATCAGATCGAAACCGAATGGACGGGTCCTGCCGTTCGGCGGCGCTCTAGCTTAGGGAGAGAGAGGCCGACGTGCCGACACATAAATGGAATCAGTACAGGAAGAAAAAGTTTGTTCTTGAATTCGAAATGCAACATCCAACTATTTAGTACAGTATAAGTATAACTGGCAGAAATAAATGATTCCATTGGAGAAAATCCTAAGACTTAAATTTTGTATAGCTCGTGCAACATGTTGCACTTTGCTAAACAGTATGTATTATTGCTACATCGTCCAATGAGGTTGTAATTCCCTGAAGCTGTAGAACATCTACCAATACTCACTACACAAATGTTTGGCTCAGACTAATTTCAACAAAACTGATATTGAAGAACACAATGTTTCAGGAGAATAACTAACCTTTTGGTGCCTTCTTTGAACACTACAGTCTCGACTGTGCAGTGCTGCCACATTGTCATGCTTGTTACAGAGCAAATGAACCTCTAGATGTTGGCTCTACAATGAAAGAACAGAAAGGCAAGATTGTAGATAAATAAACTCTATCAGTATAGAAGAAGCACTCGCTGAATATTGAACATGAGTAACACAAAGATACAACAGAAAATAATTACTGTTATCAGTGTATCATGTATCACCTGAGATGCCACCTTCATAATAAATATAGGCGATCCAGGAACTTCTCCTTGCACTTGCTTAAACAAGGCTCTGACCTTATCATCGTTGTGTACCTGTAAAACCATTTGGATGAGATAAAAATCATCTTTGGTTAATATACAATATTTGCAGAAAACTTGAGTTCATTTTGTATGGACAGTGGACATTTCCATGCAACTGTTTGGAAGTAGAGCATTCCATATAACTATGGTAGAGTTGAATTAAAAAGATTAAAAGAATATCAACCTCCCTTATTCCTTTACAACCCCCACCCCATGATAAATTTATGCCCAAAAACAAGCATGTCATCGTTCTGTTCTTAGTCTCAACTACGTACAGATTATTATACAACATTTCCACTGCCCTGAACATTAGTACAAGAGCCCGAAATACAAATAAAGGACCTACATGTCCCTACAATTAAAACAAAATTACAAACTTGCACCTAGCAGACATATATCATACTTATCCATACACAGTCTACAACTTATCCAGTAGACCCGCAAGGGCAAAAGGGAGCACGGGGACACTAATGGCGAGACTGCCGGGGTGACGGACAGTTGGTACAACTAAAGTCCGATTGTGATAACGAACATCAAGTTCAGAGTTTATATCACCTAGATTGCATACAAAATAGAGAGCACATGCTGACTCACTGTATTCTCTTGTGCGCAGGGCCACACGCATGACATCTGCAAATAATGACATCTACGCCTTTGTCTTCTGCAGCTGCATGAAAATATATAAGAAACAGATATATGATTAATACAAAAGATTAAGGATCACTGTAACAATTCAAAATTTGGGGAAGAAAGACAACTCTGAAATTTTGGCAGATAATTACCACATAGAGATCTACCTACTTTAGGCATAAGAAACAGAAAGATGTTTAATAGGAAAGACCTAAGGATTGCAGGTAACAAGTCAAGTTCTGATCGTGTTTCCAAAAATTGGAAAGAAAAACAGCCAGACTAAAACTTTGGAAGATAATTACCACGTTCGCAGTATGCCCCCTTAAGATCATAACGACCTTCCAATTTCCTATATCTGCCGGCTCTCCAGTTCCAAACTCAGATGTACTGGAACCAGCTTTCCTTTCATGAATTAGGATAGCTTGATCGTCCGATCCCGAAGCAAGATAGCGTCCATTCTTGGCCCATCTCACACAGTTTACTGACCCAAAATGGTCACACATTGTAGCCAGCAATCTTTGGTTGGAATCAACATATTGGCTATCTTTGCTCACAGATTTCATGTTCTATATGCTAACCTTTTTAAACAAGGCAAAACAGATGGAGATTAACAAAGGGCATGTTATTTAACAGATCGGTTAAAATATATAAAAAGAATGGACAAGACGTGATGCAAAATTATTCTAGCATGACACTGCAACAAGTTAACAACACTCACACTGCAGAATACAACCAATACACCAGCATTGTCAAATCTACCGATAAATTTGCCTAATAGTCGGCTATTTCAGTAAATAAATCATGAACCATTAGTAAGAAAAACATGAATCACTAGTAAGCTTTTATTAATTATTATCTCCCATTAGTAAGAAAAACTACTCAATTACAATCATAAGAAGGTAGGCTTGAGCCTGACATTTTTTCGAGCTTGAAAGAAGAGTGCCACCGATTAACAAGTTCCTGATAGTACGACAAAAATAACCTCAGTGATCTTGAACACTAACACATACATGGGCGGATCTAGATGAAATTGTGAAGGATCCCTCCATACCCTTGTTGGATTGATTGATTTGGCAATACAGAGAACTGATTGTGCGCTGGATGAATACAATCCAGCTGCTGTTACCTCAGTGGGACGGGGTGCAGACAACAGAAGTGCCCGGGCAAACATCATTATAATAACTGTTCATGGAAGCAGTCGTAGTGTACATTGTACACTGAAGCAATTGTTTCTTTCAGCTTGAAACAGAGAGACCAACAAAACAAAGGAAGGATGAAGTATCAAGCACGCATTTGCCTTGTCAAAAATCGGATACTCGGACTTACGAGCGCAAATATTCCTCATTAGTGCCAGCTGGTACCTACCCACCAAACTGGTTGCATGGGAAATCAAGGATCTCAATTCTCAAAACCTGTAGTCACATCAAATTGTTAGCATAATCTATCATAACTGAAAATCAAGGACTAATTATATAAAATAAATCATACCCAGGTCCTTGTACTTCTCGTACAATTGAGCCA